AAGATTTATTTATTTATACAGAACCGGGGTACAGGCCAGATGTGCGGGAGGGTGAGAGGATTCACCAGACACAGAGAGAGGAACAGAACAGGTAAACTGAATGAATTACATTGCTGAGGGGAGCAGCAGGTGAGACAGGAGAGGTCTGCTGCGCCATGTGTGTTGTTCCGTGGCCAGTGGGGATCGAACCGGCAATGAAGAGGCTGTGGACAGCTTCACAGAGCTGGGCCCAATCGCCTGCGCCACAAGGGAGGCCCGAGAGACATTGTTTTTCACTCAGGGGTGTAAATGGAATAAATGGATTGGTATTCATAGAAGCTCTGGGTTTTAGAAGACAGTACATATTTTTTTCACTCATAAAATGAGTTTTTCAACCTAAATCTTGCATAATGCTATTAATATCCTTGATCATGAAGGTGTAAAAACATCTATCTATGAAGGGGTTGGTTACATCAACTCCTCCAGCCTAACAGAAAATAAAATTACAGCTAATCTATTGTTTTAGTTTGCTAACTCACAGAATAGAAACCCTTCAACCTACAAGAATTTAAAAAAACAAAATGAACTAATATAAACTTAGTGGGGGGAACCCAACATTAAAACAAAAGTTAGGGAATACTTTATATGTAATTGAATTTCTCAGAGAAAGTAATTATAAACTGGATAACAACTGTTAAAAAAAAAAAAAAAAACCCAAACACCACCAAGCTATTTAAAGGCATTGGAGAGTGGCCAAATGCAGGCAGAGACTAGAGGGAATTCAAGGATTCAGACCTTGAAAGAAGGGTTCTATGGTTTTTTTTTTTTTTTTTTTTTTTTTTTTCCCAGGGTCCTGGGCATGGTGGCTATAACTCAAGGAGGAAGCCTGTCTAACTGGTTTTCAGCATTGCGTGGTAGGTTCAGGCTATAGCTGGAAAAGGAGGAGGAAAATCCTGGAAAAGAAAGAACCAAACTGAGACAGTCCTAAAATCTACTTAAATTTCCTTCAAATCCTGATTGATATTTTCGAGTTTTACTTACATGGAAAAGCTACAAGAAGTCCCAGGGGATAGCAGTGGCTAGAAGCTGGAAGGGTTGAGCAGAGATTTCAGCAGTTGTTGTTGTTGCAGGGAACAGAAATTGGAGTTTGATATTCAGGTTAGAGACCTGGCGGACACTGATAGTTTCCCATTGAAATGGCACAGGGGACATACTTTAAGGGTAAAGTATAAGTTCCAGGACCAAAGGATTTCCCCCTAGATATAAGGGAAAAACCTAAGTAGAACCACTATAACAAAGCATAAAACCCCACCTCTACAAGTTTAAGGTGATCCAGCAGCAACTTAATTGCCTGCTAGAACAAAATCAATATTCTTTAATGGATGATAAAAGCATTTAGCATCTCTATGATGTACTATACACAATATTCACCGCAGTTAAAATTTATTGGATATGAAAAGAAACAAGGAAGATGCACTTCAGAGTCAAGAGAAAAATCAATTAATAGAAAGTGACCCCCAAATGAACCAGATGTTGGAATTAGCACACCAGAAATTTAAAGCTACTATTTTGACTATGTTTAAGGATTTAAAGGAAAAGAAGCAGAGGATTGAAACTATGTATGTATGTTTGTATGAATGAATGAATGAAAAGTATATTTGAAATGAAAAGTCGCTGGATAAGCTTAACTGAGATTAGAAATAAGAGAAGTAAGATTTGGTGAACTTAAAAGATCAATAAAATGATGCATTTGAAAAGTAGAGGGGTAAACATCAAAAAATGAATAAGGATGTAATTGAGAGGTGAGGAAAGGGAAAGAATGGGGCAGAAAAAGATGAATAAATAATAGCTGAAAATTTTTCAAATTCAGGGGAAAACTTAGTTTCTCAACTTAGAGGTCCCAGAAAATCACTGAATCCTAAGCAGTAAAATTCAAAGAGAACCACATCCAAGAGCATCATAGGCAAACCGCTAAAACACAAAGGTGAAGAGAAAATCTTCAAAGCATTCGGAGATTAAGGATACATTCCACATAAGGGGAAATGCCCCATAAGAATTACTGCTGACCTCTAAACAGAAGTAAGGAAAGCCAGAAGGCAATGAATGAAAAGTTTAAAGAAAATAACTGTCAACCAAAAATTCTACATCCATTAATACTATTCTTCAAACACAAAAGTGAAACAAAGACATTTTCAGATAATCAGAAGCTGAAGGATTTGTTGCCAGACGACCCTCAGCACAAGAAATGCTACTTGGAAAGTTGGTTCTAAGGGGGAAAAAAAGGTAAATAAAACGGTAAGCATAAAATACTATACATTAAAATTTTCTGGTTTCATTAGGAAGCAGCAGATTGTTTAATCAAAATTGGTAATATTTTTATTGTGGGTTTTATAATGCATGTGGGTATAAAAGATATCAAAATGGTAGCAAAGGAGGGAGGTAAATGGAATTGCAGCCTTGGGAGTTTCACATTTTAAGTGAAGAGGCATAATGTTAACTCTAAGTATCCAATGATGAGTTAATGATGAATATTACAATCATTAGCGCTAACAGAGAGATGTAAGCAGAATACTAAAAAAATACTGAATTAACAAAAAGAAGGCAGGAGAGACAGAAAAATGAAAAACAGTTCCAATAGAAAACTGACCTATACTAGCAACAACAGAAAGCTCAAAAATCTTATGTTACATGGAAAAATCCAAGTGCAAAAGAATACATACTGCATGGATTCTATAAACAAGCAGTTCAAAACCAGGGCCTCCCCTGGTGTCGCAGCGGTTGAGCGCTGGGATGCGAAGCTGCCCGAGGGTTCCACATGGCGCGGGTCCCACATGGCGCGCAGACCTCTTCTGCCGCCCGCTGCTCCCCTCAGCAGTGTACTTCGTTGGTCTGCCTGTTCTGTTCCCGGCTCTGGCTCTGATGAATTCTCTCACCCTCCTGCGCTTCTGACTTACCCAGTGCTTAAATCAATCAATCAATCAATCTTTAACAAAAAAGAAGTTCAAAACCAGGTGAAACAACTAAAAATCAGAAGTGATCTTGTGTAAGGTGTACGCATTACCTGGGAAAAGGCAGGAGAGCTTTCTGAGAATGATGAGAATTTATACCTCGACTGCCCTGGTGACTTGCTAGGGAGTATACATTTATCAAAATTCAAATAAGCGCACACTTAAATTTTGTGCATTTCATTGTTTGAAAAATTTGCATGGATTTTTTTTTTTTTGTAAGGCTCCAAGCACTATTGCAGTGTCTGGGGTTGCAAACTTTGATCAACAGAGGGCGCTCGGAGCTCACCAAATACGCGTTGGGGCCCCAACTACTTCGGGATGCAAATCAGACCAGTTCTGCTCTCCTTAGCCTTCAAGGTGGATCTCGAAGCTCCCCTATAGCTCTCTATCGACACCCCATCTCCTCCACCAGCAGCTTGCGGGCTAGTCCATTTTACCTGACCACACGCTGTTTTTCGGCTGATAAGCAGCGCGTAACTAATGGCGGTGATATTTTCCGAGGCCCCTCCGCGGAATACAGATGTGGCCGGGAGCTGGTTTGTGCTTGCAGGAAGCGTACCTGCCCCCGAAAATCTTCTCTTGAAAAGATCGTTTTATAATTGGAAGTAAAAGCGTAATGGAAACTTGCACACTGTTCCCGACATCTTCATTTTGACCTTCTTACCTCGCTTTGGTGGTTGTGAAATATTCCCACGCGAGGGCTGCGGCGGGAGGGGTGTGCGTGAATGACCGTGCAAGGGAGGCGCGGAAGAAATGTCCCCCGAGGCACGCAGGGCGGGGGGCGTTGCCCCAGGGTTCCAGCGCCCCAGAATACGGTCTTCCCGCCCCCTCCATATCCCAGAAGGAGGCCAGCGATCCGACAGCCCCAGACGCCTCGTGCGCCCTCGCCTACCCCAAGGCACGGTCCTGTTCGGGGGCTGAGATGCCATTACACCTCACGTGGTCCCCGCACCGGGCCAGTTCTTCAGGCGGCGTCTCGCGGGGTGTTAATTAAAGGTCACAACAAAACAGACCTTCCGGCTCACCAAAAGAAATGTCCTCCTGGGAAATGAAAAATGACACCCCGGAGCAGCCACGTGTGGAGCCAAGCATATGCCGGCTTCCTGCGCTCCCGGGCGCTGCGCCGGGGGACCTCGGGCGGGGGGGTCGGGCAGGGGACGGCGGCTGGGTGCTCGGGGCTCCGCGGGGCTCAGGCGCGGGAAGGAGAGGGAGGAGGGGTGTCGCGGGCACCTACCCGGCAAGGCGAGGCCAAGGCCAGCTCGCGCACACCCACTTTTCCAGGCCCGCGCCGTCCGCGCCGCGCCGGTGGAGCGCCGCGAATCCCTCAGTTTCCCCTGCGCGCCCGAGCCCCGCTGGGCCCCTGGGCTCACCTGTCCCAGCCTGGGTGGCGAGGCGCGGAGCAGATCTGGGCTGGGGCGGGCAGGAGCGCCCAGGTCTCAGGCTGTGGTTGGGAGGATGGCCCCCGGGGCTGGCCGGGGCTTGGTAGGACAATTCCAGAAAAGGTTTGCAGGGCAGGTCTAGGAGAACAAAGGGCGGGGGGCGGGGGTGTGGAGTGGGGGGAAGGACCCGGCATGTTTGTGGACTTGTTTGTGACTCAGTCCCTTTTACTCGGCGTTTCAAAGGCAGAACTGCAAGCCTTGCCAGGAAGAGAAAGAACTCGGGGGCGGGGGCGGCTCGGCGCATTTCTGTCCGGCCACGCTCCCTCGGTGCGGCCCCTCAGCTTCGGGCTCGCGCCGTGGTGTTTCATTAGAGCCCTGGACACGGGCCACTCGCCAGGAACTTCCCTGCGAGGGGCGAGATTTACGAGGCCCCCCTCCCCCCAGCGCCGGGCCTCGCGCTGTCAGGCCGGAGCGCCGCAGCATAAAATGGATCCCGGCCCGCGCGGCGGCGGCAGCCAGGCGGCGGGCTCCGGGGCGACAGCGCCGCTGCACCCGAGGCTCCGCGCCGCGCCCGGGCGCACACGCGCGCCCTGACCGCCGACCGCTGCCCGGCCGCGCCGCGCCGCCCCGTCCCTGCCCTCGCGCAACTGTCAGGCAAAACCGGCCGGCGCATATTGGCTCCGCGACGCGCCGAGGCTCCTCCCCGAGTCTGGATCTTTATATTTTGGGAGAATTTCTTTGAACTCAGTTACCAAGCTCCGCGAAGGAGACAAGTTCCCACAGCCGGCTCGCGGGCGGAGGCGAGGCGAGGGCTCGCCCACCGGCTCTGCGGCCGCCGTGCGCCCCGATTGTACCCCCCTTTTCCCTCGTGGAGGAAAACGGACGGACGTGGCTGAGGAAGATGCCAATTATCTGGATGTGACCGTGAAAAGAGAACGTGGGACTGAGGAGGCTGACGAGGATGAGGAAAGGCATTATTTGAAGGGAAGAATAAACCAGCTACTCCAAGCCTTCCTGCAAATTGGTGCTTTTACTTCTGGGGCCCATTTGCTTATACCCTCCCCTCCCACCCCCACCCCCCATTAAGAAATCTTGACTGGAGGGCCAGGAGCCAACTGGGGACCCTTCTGGCTTGGACGACCTTTTGGATGTAGCACTGGTGGAACATTTAGACACTCTCCTCGGAAAAGCCACCATGAATTCGGTAGCTGGGAATAAAGAGAGGCTGGCCGTCTCCACCAGGGGCAAGAAATACGGGGTAAGTTGTGACGGGCACGATGCGGAGACGCGTTTCCAGGGTGCCCCCAGTCCGGGCGGGGCGGCCCGAGCTCTGCCCGCGCTGCGGAGGCGCCGCGGCCGGCCCGCGAGGTGTGCGTGCGCGGAGGCGGGTCTGGGGGTGGCGACGCCCGCACACTCGCCTGGCCTTGGGAATTTTTCCAGTCTTTTCGTTCTTCTGTTCCCCGCACCCCTAACTTTTGCAGCATTCCTGCACTTCCAGGCTGTTAAGCAGGACGGGAGGGTTTCCCCGGGAATTCTCTGCCCGAGCTCGGGGTCATTTCTCTGGAACCGGGAGAGGTTTCGTTTATCTCCAGGTTCCGGGGGGCTGTAGCCTGAATGAATAAAACCCCCCAAGTCACGGCCCCTCAGCCCCCAGGGGCTCGCATCTTCCAGATCTTGAACCTGGGCTTTTCTGGAATGGGCTTTGAGTTCAAAATCGCGGGGCGCTGTATATTTGTGGGTTCCCCCTGCAGAAACCATTGACACCCCTCCCTCCCGCCGCGAGTCCTCCCCTCTAGCTGCGAGGAACGGTCGGCGGGGAACCCGGGCAGGAGCGGGGGGGGGGCGGACACCCGGGCGGGGGAACTTAGAGAAGGGCAATTAATGAGACCCTCGGAAGCAGATTCGGCCGCGGGGCTCCGAGTGATGTGGGGCGCGTGCCCCTCGGTGGCGCGCGGGTCCCCCGGCGGGCGGGCGGGGGTTCCCCAGGGCTGCCGACCCCCCGGCGTCCCCTGAAACCCGCGTGTCTCCCTCGCAGGTGAATGAAGTCTGCTCGCCCCCCAAGCCCGAAGCCCCCTACTCCCCCGAGAGCTGGTACCGGAAGGCGTACGAGGAGTCGCGCGCCGGGAGCCGGCCCACCCCCGAAGGCGCGGGCTCGGCGCTCGGCTCCTCGGGCACCCCGTCCCCCGGCTCGGGCACCTCGTCCCCCAGCTCCTTCACGGGCTCCCCGGGGCCCGCCTCCCCGGGCATTGGCACCAGCTCGCCGGGTTCCCTGGGCGGCTCGCCAGGCTTCGGCACGGGCTCCCCCGGCTCGGGCAGCGGCGGCGGCTCCTCCCCCGGCTCGGACCGCGGCGTCTGGTGCGAGAACTGCAACGCCCGCCTGGTGGAGCTGAAGAGGCAGGCGCTGAAGCTGCTGCTCCCGGGGCCCTTCCCGGGCAAGGTGAGCGCGCGGCGGGGGCGGGACGCGAGGGCCACCCCGGGGCGGGACGGGCAGCTCCCGCCGCCCCGCCGCAGCCATCGCTGCCCGGCTGGTCGCCGCGGCGCCGCGCCTCGGCCCGGGGGTCCCGCGGGGGCTGCTCCACACTCCAGGGGGCGCTGCGTGGGGGACGGGGTGGGGAGGGGGGCGACTCCCGCGCCTGGCCGCCGTGGGGCGCGGAGCGTGCGCGGGGCGCCGGCCGTTTCAGGCCTCACGGTCCACCCTGGACGCCCCAGGGCGTCCGTCCCGCTGCCCCCAGCTCCTCAGAGTTGGCGTTCGGTGCTACTGGTCCAGTCTTGGGATTCTTTCCTTTCTGCTCCCCACTGTCCCCTTAGCACCCCACCATCTGGACTGCTGGCCGCGCGTTAGATTTTCTCCCCACCCCCACCCTTGCTCCTTCCCAGCAATGTCGGTGGGAGAGGTAAAAGCGAGCTGGTGTTTAGGCATTTCCCATTGCCTGTTTATAGTCCTTTATTTGCAGGGCTGCAAAACCAGAAGCACACCCGAGAGCTGGTATTTGTTGCCTTTGCGCAGCATGTGTATCTGAGGAAAATGAAGGGGCAGCTCGCGCCCCTGAGCAGGGCTCCCTCCTGGCCTGCTAGCATCGGTTCCTCCATAGCAACCCTGCGGGCGTTGTGTGTGCCAGGAGCCCCCAGAGTGTAACACAATGCAATTGTATTTGCACTGTTGGGTCCAAGTACTATCAAATGATAATATTTACTCTTCCACTTCAAAGAGTTTTTATCAGTGGTTAGAGAGAATTATCAAGAAAACAGTGAATTGCTGTGGAGCTTTCTGACATTGTTTGTTCAACGGATTTTTTGATTTGTATTTCTGTGACTTTTGAAATGAAATATTGTGATTATGAATAGTGGAGTTTAGGAATGACTGCATCTGCTTGTTTCATCTGTTTATTCAAACACACACACGTTGATGTTTTCATAGGCAAGGGTTAAATTAAACAAATACCCACAGAAGTTGTAAAATTGTAAATGTGGAAAATCACCACCAAGAGAATCCGGTTTTATGAATCTCGAATTTATCTCAAGAATAATTAACTTGTGGATTGTTGTCAGTATGCCATTTGTGTAGTTTGATAATAAATCTGTCAGGACACCCCAAGAATAAATTTCAGGGACGCTAAGAGCTTATTTCACTCTTGCATCTGATATCCTACAATTCAACACACCATTTCTTCACTCACAGATTTATTTGCTTTTTAAATCATTTGTCAAGATTTGTTCATTTGCTACCCTGCAAGGCCCTGTGTTAGGTACAGCAGTGAAGTAACCAGAACACACATTCCTTGTCCACGTGGAGCTTCTATTCTAATCGAGATTAATGAACCACAAAATGCCCAATACCTAACATATTCCCATTTGTGGTTAGAGCTATAAAGGAAGAGTATGAGATGCTGTGTGATTTTATGACTAGGTGGACCATCTGATAAATTTTGAAGAACCTAGGTTCTTAAAGATGTAGCACCCAATATTTAGCAACCCTAGTAAGTTGCTAGCTACCAACTTATTCTAGGACATTTTTGAAGAACTGTTCTTATAATAGCTTCTTTGTGTTGTTTGGATGCTCTTTGTGTGCAAAGGTAAATAAATATACACTGTTTTCATAAAAATGGAGAAGGAAGGAAGTCTATAATAAGAAACAAATATTGGAACTTAAATTCTTCCATCACGTTTTTGTGAAGCCATGTGACAAAGTAGATTTTATTATTCGTGAAGTAGCCTGGAGAACTCATTGACAGTGTTCTAGGTAGCTTAATATATGCCATTTTTTTTTTAATGTGATGAAATAGAAGTGATATTGGGAAACTGATCCTATTGTCAGAATGAAAAGCCCTAGAAAAAGCATAGTATCTACTAAACCTCAGTGCTCCACATGCCCTGACAGTGATGCATGTACTGTGAGCTGTGGTGACAGTCACAGGGGATCACCTTAAGTGCAAGCATGAATATTGCAGGGCCACTGTTGCCTGGAGTTTTCTGTGTAAAGAAGCACAGTGAAACATGACATTTGGTACCGGGCAGTGTACAAGACTTAGCAAGAAGTCAGGGTGCTTTGGATGACCTCATTGTTACAAGAAGCTGTGGGGCCTCAATTTTAACAAGTCTTCTGCGTGTCTTTCGGAATAATAATTTAGTAATTTCTTCTCCTTTTTTGAGCATTTGTATCCTCAGATTAGGTATAATTTCCTTTCACACTTTATAAAGTTTGCAACATTTTAACCCAATGAATAGCTGTGTCCTCCAGAGCACCTTGGAAAGGGCCCTCTGAAATGGTAACTGGTACCTTGTAATTGGTAACTCACAGAGGATTCTTCCCAGAGCAGGGTTTTTATGAGTAAACTGTGAACCTTTGTAGCCCTCAGGCACAGAATGAGTTAAGTTTCATTAAAGCAAGAGATATCATTGTGACTCCAATATGTATTTCACCCTGCAGTGGAAAGGTCTGGAAGATAAATCCATCAATTGGAGGGGTAGTTAGCGAAAATCATCTTTGCAATTCACTTAAGATGCTTAACTGTATTTGGGGAATATTTTGTTAAATAATTATTGAGTTCTATTAGGTTGCATTAAAATTTTCTCAGGCAGACACTTTGAAGTAAAAAAGCAGAATAACATGTCCAGAAACCTTATTAACTTAGTTCTTCACCACTGATTTATTTTGTAACATCAAGTAAATCAGTTTTCCTCTCCATTTTTAGCTTCTTCATTAATATACTAAGGAAAAAATGATTCAAGCTATTAGAATGTCATAAAAATTATTTTAAGTTAGATTTAAAAGTGCTTCCATTCTTTAGAAAAACCTGTGAGGGTAGAGGGTTATTACTTAGATGAGATTCAGTTATGTTTTACAGAATTTAGGGCTTTTCTTAATAAACATTGTATACTTCCCATTTCTAATTTTGTCAGTATATTTCCCAAATATTATATCATATTGCCATGTGTATTCTCACACTGCCCTTAAGTTCTTCCAGTTTTGTCTGTGGGAGAGCTGGTTAAAGAGAGGAGGTGAAGTGGCAATGAACTGGTACAGGGGCTCCAGGAGTTAGAGAAGGGCTCTGGTGACCCAAGGAATGAGCATTGTTCTGAGTATTGTCAGCCCTCATGTGGCCATCAGGGAAGAAGACTTTGTGGCAGAAGTCCAGGTGACTTGATGGAGGTTTCTAGGTTGGGGAACTGGGTGGGTGGGAATAATGTTAACTAAGGCAGTAAATGGAGGAGATGCAGATTTGGATGCAATTCATTGAGAAGAATGATAATGGGCTTGATTTTCCATGCATTGAGTTTGAGGTTTCTGTAAAGAGCTGGAGAGTAGAGGCAAGTTTGGAATAAAACAGACTCTGGAATGTATAGCTGTGAGCTCACATAACTGTTAATCATACTCTGGATTTGTCCTTTCAAATAGCAACCTACCTGGGTGAGTGAAGGTGTGTGTCTGGTGGCATATTATGAAATATTCAACTTGACTTTTATTACTTTATTTAGTACAAAAAGTTCTTACTGGGTTTATAACATTTCATTTTTAGCAGTGGTAAGTGGAAGTGGTCCCATAAAACAGAAAAATGTGGATTTGTAAAATGTTGGCATGTTAAGTGAAAATAGTCCTTTTCCACACTGCAGTGTTCCATAATGTAAATATAAAACATTTCCTACTCCCTGGCAGGAGCATCTTTCCTTTCTTAGGCATAGTTTAGTCACCAAGTCAGAAATAGAGGCTAGGGAGTGGATCTCCCATTTGGGGGCTATCATAGATCATTTTGATATCTGTGACCAAACTTTTCCCCCCATGTTTCTTATTTATTTTATTAATTTTTTCCATTTATTTTTAGTTGCGGTAATGTTTGCAAATCCCCATCAGGTATTGCCACTGTAGAGCACCCGCCACCAAATCACCCTTGTCCACCACCATGGTCCATTGTGCTTCCTTCCATTTTTGTGACAGAACTTTTAAATTGACAGTGTGAGCCCTACAAAAACAGCAGCTCAAAGAAATTCCCTGAAGTAAGCAGAAAGGTTCCAGGTTGGCAAAATCAGTGTCTGTTCATTTCCATATCAACAAAAGAAAATCTTCTATGTAAAAAAAAAGTCCAAAACTAAATTTCTATCTGATTATTTTTGCCTCAGCCACATACTCAAGGTCTATTTTTACCCTAGATATATCAGGAAGATTAGCCAGACATACTGAAAGGGGTGATCAGGAATCACAGATGAAAGAAAGGAATGTCATTGGTGTTTAAAAACACTAAATAGCAGGACTCTAAATAGCATGGGCCCAAGTAAGTCTAGACTTGGGGAGAGAGAGATATATATATCCTTAATATATAATTTCTGTATTTTGCCAGCTCCAACAAAACAGGGTATGAAAAAAATAACTATTTTAAAGGTCCCATATAAGCCATTAGAAGATACTTTATAAGTGGCTAAAATAGACAATGCATTTTAAATACTTATTAAAATCAAGAGAGAATCATATTTGAAATCTGAGAACACTTGGCTATTTTCAGAACATTTTTTCATTTCAGAAATATTTTTGATAATTGACTAACAGATAATATCAATAATGAAAAACCCTGCAGTGTTGATCATTAAATTTGTCAACATTTGGAAGGATTAAGTCAATAAAATCAAGGCAACATCAATTACCCTGTGACATTACATCACAGATTGTACCATTTATCAGTCAATAATTATGGTGATGGTAATAAAAATGATAAGTGCCTAACAGTTATTTTCCTTAGTATGTGTTAGGTACCATACTAAGCTACACACAGACACACATTATACATGCATAAAAATTCACATGACAAGTGAAGAAGATCCTGATTTCTTGTTCTTTTAACCTTGGAATTTCAGGTGATTGGTGTGCCTCAACTCATAAAAGGAAGCCTGAGTAAAGATGCAAGGAACAGAGAAATCCAAGGACACTTTACCCTCCAGAGCTGTTGA